CATACACTATATGAAGAGTTCACATTCGAAAGCCTCTAAGTGCCATTTGAAAATTTCTTCTAAAATTAGTCTTTTTTTTATCAGGCTCCTATGTGTAGGTTCAGTAATTTCACTTTAATGGCAGTGAATAGGTTCTTTTCATTGCCATTTAAGTGAAACACCCTCAGAAAGGAGCCTGAGCCATGTTTAATTTTAGAAGAAAATTTCAAATGGCATTTAGATGCTTTTGCATCTGAACCCGATACATCACTTAAAATGTACTCAAGTAAAAGTACACAATTTTAAACTACTCAAAAAAGTACACAATTACTGATAAAAACTACTTAATTACGGTAACGTGAGTATTTGTAATTCGTTACTTCACATCCGTGATGCTCACAACACCCTATGTTGGTTAAAAATAGGAAAGATAATACTTTCTCTAAAGAAACCGGATTCCCTAAATTATCGTCATTGATATAAATATCAGAAATTATCGTGATACATTTTAAAACCCATATCGCCCATCCCTACTGTTTACATTCACTTTAGACACGACTGGTATCCGATATCTGTGTTTACATTAATTCCCACCCAAAAGGATTGTCTGCAGTGATCGCTTTACTATGCACATGGTAGACCCTCGGGTTTTAAATGGCCGTGCTATTAAAATTATTTATATAATTCACGTCGAATGGCCATTATTATTTGCCAGCATGGACAACGGCTGTCATAGATGTTTTGCAGCGCAAAATCTGACTGAACAGATAAAGACCGGAAAATAACGGTAATTTTAATTTGTTAGACTATTTTATCTACAACTCGTTAGAGGTACAATTCATTAGTGAAAAGTTAAAATCACTAAATGAAATAATAGAAAACCGACTATATTAAACTGCTAAGAGGAATACACATTAACTCATTTGAGCTAGTATTAGCTAGCTTATATTTGATTTAGTTACTGCTATCATAAAAATACACTTATATGTAGAATTAAAATTCTACATGTGTCACATTTAATGTCCAACAACAAATATTTTAGCGGAATGTATATTTTATTACGAATTATTGCGCTATTCTATTCTGCTTCGTCTGTGTAGCGCGCATGCGTGCAGCAGTGCTCGTTCACTCACGTAAGCCTCGCCCACTCCAGACAGCAAAATTGATATATTTGCATGACTTTCTAACATTTACAGATGAAAAATATACCTGTGACGTGTCAGTTATGCACTGAGGAAAACACAATGTCTCAAATGCATTAAACAGCACAAATACTCGCTGTTTTCCATGGTGGATCGATTTGATCCATGATCGACATTAAGATCTGCTTTAGAATAAGCGTGCACATCAAATTATCCTGATTCATTGAACCTGGATCGAATTAGTGAGATTGCGTAAACCACTTTAGTCCCGATTGATTTGTTAGGTTATTTCAAGTCAGGTTTTGGACTTGAATCCCCGCTTTTCTTAGCGTCTTTTATGAAACAGCCCCCAGTTCAGATAATTTTATAGTTTTTACAAGCGATGTAAAATGGCTTGATTATTGTCGAATGAAACATTGTAACACTTTATGTAACATTAATAAATGTTATTTTTATGAGTTAAGCGTATCCGCACATGAAAAGGTACGTCTCATTTCGCCCCCTATCAGTTTATCGTAAAGACGAATTCGGTCACTACCCGGGTTTCCATCCTAAGTTGCGAATTTAACATAAAAATTGGAATATCGCATAAAACATTTAACTGATTCTTAAGAAGTTAGATAAAACAGGGTGCAATATTGAAAAAAATAAAACCTTATACTCAGACAAATTAAACTACATTTATGTGTCTTACATCTACTGAGCTATGCTTTGATACAACCTCCCAATTTATTTCTTTTTTTTATCAAAATGTGCTTTTTACCTTGCCATCACTAACAATGTGTCAACACCATCGGACACCAAAAACAAATTAATTTTCACTCACATTATGCAAGATCTATAAGAAGCATAGTAAACACTACTTTTTACCAAGGCAGACAGAGACCACAAAAAAAATACTTCCAATATGTATATATTTATTATAAAGATTTCCGTCTGTGTTTCTTGAATTGGACTGTGTAATATAACTTTAACAGCAATCAAGATGCTTTTTAACATTTCAAAACACATTCCTATGTTAGCAGACAGATTACATGATCACATATGACCAACAATTCCTCAACAAATATATATCATAATGAAATATCCTCAAAATATTGATCTGACGGAGGTGACGTAGACCTGACAGAGTTGACACATCTGACGGTGGTGACGAAAACTTGAATTTTTAACTATCAAATACATTGAATCAATCAATTACTGTATTAAAACAAACAGTGAGTATGTTATTGTTATTGTATGTTTATTATCTTATTCTTCGCTCTCTTGATTCTCGCTGGCTATGCTTCCATTTCTTTCTCTGTTTCCTCTGTTCTCTCTTACTAAAGTCCTTGATTTGCTTTATTTTTCCTCCCTCAACTCTCTGTTTCCACCTTTGTCTCTCCTGTCTTAGAAATTCCTCCTTTAATTCTGGCTGTGCACTGATTTTCTCTCCTCGCCTTTTCTGATACTCTGTTCCTTCGTCTACGCTCCTCCAATGAGAGATGTTGTCTAGCCCTGCTGGGCTAAAAACACACAAAAAGAGCACAATAATTTCTTTATCATATTTGCCTATGCAATGTTCCTTATTATGTTCCATAAGCCCTGTGTTCCCTCAACCCTAACTCTGCTAGAAGTGATGACTATCAATCCACATAAACCATATATGCTGTCAGGTCACATATTTAGTATCTAAACATTGTTTAGAAAGACTAAACAAAATAAAAATAAAATAAACTATTTTATATTTAATATAATTAAAAATGACTTGAAAACCACAAAAATATGATGATTTCATGTCGAATGTCAACTCCGTCATTGGCTTGTCACCACCGTCAGAAAATCTTATGGTGTTGACACATTAGGCGTTTCTTTCACAAAACAAATGGAGTTCATGTGGTAGCCATTTTGTTTTCTCTGTTGATGCTAGATCATCAGCTTCAGGAGAAGCAGGTTCTATAAAATTATCTAAAAATTTCAAATAACTTCGCATCATACATCATGGTTGTGACACAAGAAATATTAACATTAGGATTTAAAATACTTTAAAATTATTAAACACACCAGAGCCTGTCTGACAGTGATGTACTCTGCAGATGTGGAATGTGGCAAGGGGCTCCTTCGGAAGTGACAGCTGCCCCTGATTTGATTAAATTTTAATAAATGTCTAATGTTGTTGACAAAAAGTAGGGACACAACTTTGAAATCTTATAAAACACGCATATTGAAAAACACCCTTGCTCAGATATGAGATATTATTAAGTGTTGCTTTTGAGAAGACAATAAGTGTCATAGATTTGATGTAATAATGATCTAATTAAATTGAAGGGGATAATTGAGTTAAATACATTCTATTATTAATTCCTCATAACATTTACAATTGAAAATATTTTCATTTTTAAACCTAATAGCAGTTACAATTGCTGGACGTGTTTTGTCCCAGGTCTCAAGAATCAGTGATTTGCAAATAAGCACCATTTCCATCCAACGAGTCAAAGAGAACAAAATCGTCACTTCCTGATAAACTGGCACTAAATATCATTAAGAAAAGTAGAAGAAGCCACCAAATATAATAATTTACAACAAACATAATAAATTACTTGTGCCTCAGAGCAAGCAGACGAAACACAATGTGGTCATTGCTTTCAGAGATGGATCTCTGCTGCTTGGGAATACAGTCGAGAAAGTTCTGGAAGGCAATTATACAGAAAGACTCTGATGACAGACTTTGCCCAGGCATTTAGAAATGACTATTACAACATTTCAGATGCTGTGGAACAAGATCGGTCCGCTGGTTATGCCGTCCCATAGCGCAAAGTCACATGACTTTTTGATGCACATGGAGGAATTTATTCGCAAAATACGTTTCCATCTCCCATTCGCACAAGTCAAAAACCACCTCAAGCGAGCATTGAAACATTTTTTACGAATTAAGGGATTTATTTTCAAAATTTGCCATTTCCATCACTCGTTTCTGATGCGATACTTCAAAATGCGCATGAAAAAATGTGTTTTTTTGAAAGTGAAAGAATGTGACGTGACATGTGGCCAAGTATGGTGAAGCATACTCGGAATTAGTGCTCTGCATTTAACCCATCCAAAGTGCACACACACAGCAGTGAACACACACACACACAGCAGTGAACACACACCCGGAGCAGTGGGCAGCCATTTTTTTGCTGCAGCACCCGGGAGTTCGGTGCCTTGCTCAAGGGCACCTCAGTCGTGGTATTGAAGGTGGAAGAGAGTGCTGTACATTCACCCCCCCCACCTACAATCCCTGCCAGTACGAGACTAAAACCCGCAACCTTTGGGTTATGAGTCCGACTCTCTAACCATTAGGCCACGACTTCCCCCGTTTTTGTGTGGCAAAACGATTCAGTGATTCGAAGTGCAAATGCAACAAACACAACAGATGAATAACAATAATAATAAATGTAAAACATAAATGCCTAAATATTAAATGCCTGTGTAATTTGTCTCCTTTTATTAATTTGTAGTTCTAGTTTTGAGTGATTTTTTTTTCCTTAAACAGGACAAAGTGTCCAAACACAGAGAAACTCCTGGTGAAGCAACTGAGATCCACGTGACTCTGTTATAAAGATGGCGTTTATTAAAGAGGAGAGTGAAGATGTGAGGATTGTAGAAATATTCAGCATGAAACAAGAAGATACTGAGACACAAACAGGTTGGTTTTCATTCTCAAAGCTTATTAAAATGTCTAGCTCTACAGAATTAAATGATATTTTTGAAGAATGTCATATCTGCCGTGCAAAGGCAAAAGGTCGTAACTACGTTTTGGCCGAAAATGAGTTATTGATATTCTTGGGACATTCAAGACCTCCTTTATCATGTGGATAAGTATCTTAAAGGGGTCATATGATGCTATTTTAAAGATCATTATTTTGTGTATTTGGTGTAACAGAATATGTTGACATGCTTTAATGTTCCAAAAACACATTATTTTTCAAATACTGTACATTATTGTAGGTCCTCTATGCCCCGCCTCTCTCAAACGCTTAGTTTTCTACAAAGCCCCCTCCTTTGACAAGCGCAGTCTGCTCTGATTGGCCAGCTGACCCAGTGCATTGTGATCGGCCGAACACTGCAAGCACACGTCAGAAATGTAACGCCCCTTACCATAATCGCGAGCTTCATCTTTCAAAGTAAATATCAAAACAGTTAATAATGTCGTTAGTTTTACCATCAGTTCAAGCCTGAAAGGGCAACAGAGTCGCGTGACAGACACAGTGATGATGCAGTACACAAGCCACGGTTAAGACAGCTGACGTGCTATGATTTCTGACAGGCAGTTCACTCTCCTGTGATGTGACCCTGTTCCCCTCTCACACACACACACACACAACACGTTACTCTGCGCAAAACTCCGCATTTGAACAGTCAATAGCAAATACTTAAACTAGTAACAAAACATACTTACAGTCGCTGATTCAGAAGGGCCAGATTGTCATAGCAAAGTCAGAATTGACCCTTATTTTTTTTTTTAGAAATAGCGTTTGTGCACAGCCAGCCCTGTACTCTTCTAGGTTCAAAAAACTGTCGTCCATAAAATGCGTTGCACAAATTCGAACATCTGGGTTGTGCTGTTCTGTTGTAAATAAATCTTAACCAATGATTCCTAATTGCATCTACTTCCGGAAGGCCAAATAAAGTGCTTTTGCTTTCGCACTGAAACACACAGCATCTCCCTGACATGGCTGCATCAACACGACTGCTGTTCCTGAAACCACGCTTTCTTTCTTTGCGTGCACATTTGGCCTGCATTATGCTAATATTTCCACATAGTGACCTAGATATGTGGGGGCGTGTTAGAACGAGCCGTTTTAGGTAGGTGTGGCTGACTCTCAACTTTTATTAAGAATATCTCTTTGGTTTTGAGACTTTAGTTTTTGCTACTTTACAGATCTTCTTTATGCACCAAGAGCTTGTAACACTTCAAAGATAAAGGAAAACTTGAAATCGCATCATACGACCCCTTTAAGTAGGGCTGTGTATCTAGTTTGATAATTTTTAGGCACCGACCGAATTGCCTCGATACTATCGTGTTAAATTTCTATACCTAAAGGGGTTAATCTCGTCAATGTCAGTGAACCAGTAAGCATGCAGCATGCGTGATGTGCTGGTGATTGGCTCTGGTGAGGCATCAAGAAAAACGCGTGTTACATGACCATTCATGCACACTGTAGCATCATGCTACATAAGACAATTTATAAAATGTATACTATGCTTTCACTCAAAACTCACTTTAAACCACCATCCAAACCACCACACGGGAAACCACCACCGCTGAAGCGCCGTCCGCCAACATGAAGAGCTCTCCAAGAGCGTGCTGAACTCGTTCAGTCTTCTCTCCGTAGAGTAGTCAGGAGCGGAACGATGTGATCGCTCGGCTCCGAAGCGAAAAGCTGAATATGCGCTGCACCTGCTGCCTACTTATACTCACGCTGTGATCAGCAGCAGCTGGATGCAATAATCGCATGCCAATGTGCATTGGCTCGTTTAGTTTACACTCGAAGTAGATTGGTCCCTCTAAGCGAGATCCCAATTCGTCGGTCCTCCGACGTGACGTCTCCGTTCCCTCCTTCAGGGAACGAGGGTTACATACGTAACCGAGACGTTCACTGCTATTAAACCGATTGCAATCTAATGAGGGTTTTGGTCATGTAATGTTGCAGAAAGATGTTATTTGTAGTCTTTTATATCAAGCTAATCGCTACACCTGCTTAGCATTTCTCATGTAAACACTGTATTGTTATAAAAATAGGCACAATCTCAAGTAAATCACATACAAATCATATACTATCATAATCGCATGTTTCTTAGCTTCATGTTTCATCCCTGTAAATGTTTTTCTGAAAGTGTAACACGTTTGTCATCAGAGACAGGGCGGGTTATGAACGCGTAATATGATTGACACGAGCAGCGAATGAGCTTCCTCTGAGTCAGAACAGCGATCGTGGAAGAGAAAACACTGACAGACAGCGCTGGAAGCAGCTAATGCTCATCAGATCATGTAAATCAGTGGAAATTGAATAGAAATTATTCTGTCTTAAGCTTTAAGTTTTAAAACAAAAATGCCCTAGTGTAAATGTAGCCTAGTTCTGAGGATATCATCAGTGAAGAGAGGGCTTGTCTGTCTCCTGAAAAAGCGGACATGCTCATTATTTTGAAGAACTACTGAGTGATTTAAAGATCTTAAGCTTGCAGCAGTGATCCTCACATACGGACTCGAAACTGTACATTTTTCATTTTATTAAAACTATTTGCACTGATTTATTGTGTTGGTTACATTTTGTTCCTATGTGCAGTGGCACAGGAGATGAGTCTGCGTCTGTAAAAACCTCAACATACTGAGAAGAAAAAAAAAAGGTTTTATGAGGTAATGTATTCTTGTTAAAATGGATTTGGAATTGGTATCGAAAAAAGTATCATTCAGGAACCGTTATCAAAGTCAAGGTATCGATATCAAAATTTTTGACCGATACCCAGCCCTAATCTTGAGTAAATTTCATTGGGTTTTTTTTACCCCTCAAAAATAATGGGTTGTCTTAACCGTAACTTCCAAAAGCCCAGGAGAAACCAAGGTAGAAAATCATATAACATGAGTTACCGCTCTTTGACTTTGTTTTGGAACGCTAAAATTGAGTTACGGTACTCTCTCTTTGTTTAGCCATGAATCAATATGAAGTTACTGCGCCGGCCTGGAGTTATAAGGTTTTCTGCCTTTGTTTTACTGTCCATTAAAGTCTGCAGCGTTTAAATTACTGTGTAATGTGTCTTGTCACTGAAGCACTTCATTAGACAAACAAATTAGGTAGATCACAATCTGACTGCTCCATATAAGCTCCATAAGACTAGATAACCTGGCAACAGTAAGTAATTGTAAATAATTGTTAGTCTTTTTTTTATGCTGATTATTCACTCAGTGCCAGCCTTTCCACTTCTAGTTACATGCACGTGAACTCGAATGCTGTGACAGCATAGCATGATCACACATAAAATCTGTAGTAACAGTTCGCAATTAAATCCATATCCTACCTTTTCTTGTAACCTGATAAAATCCCATGGCAATGAATGTCATCAGAGATGTTTAATCCACAAGCATTCGGAGCATTATTGCTACTTGCTGGCATTCACATCAATCCACAAGTCGTCCTTTTAGGTTAGGCTTTTTTCATTCAATTTGATGTCTTGCATCGTTTTACGTTAGTGAACATTGCAAATATATTGGATGTAAAATGGTATCCACTCACATGTTTAACTTTTTGTCTGGTTGTTACAGTTAGAAAAACAATTAATACAGTCACATTACTATATGTTATAGCTATGAGATAGCCCATAATCACTAGATTTTATGCAGGTGTTGCTATAATAATTTTGTAAATGGTGATCAGCAATTAGATATTCATAATGTGGAAGTTACTGACTTTTGCCTTGACTTCTCACTTTTTTCAGACAATGCAAAGGCAGAGTACAGTAACTTCAAAATAGGGGTGAAAATCAAGTTTGATTTCAATTTTTTTTATGTAGATCATTTTCATCTAATTAACACCTAATCGAACACAAAATTGCCAGATTTCCAGTGTCTTGCCTATAGCCTTAATAATTTGGCTGGACAAATAAAAAACTTTAAAGTAATTTTTCTCAGTTCCATACTCTAGCGAGTTAAGGTCTTTTGTCTTGTAGGGCAGATATGAGCGTCCTAATTAAAGTAATGTTAATTGACATGGAGTGGGTTCTCATGTTGAGATCACATGACCAGACAAATACTACAAATGTGTGTATAGAAAAGAATCATAATATACAACTATTTGTTCAGGATATTTTAAGTTTAATCAAAGGTGTAGAAACCAATCTGTTGTGGACCCGTACCCCCCCCCCCCCCCCCTTTAAAAATAATCACATTTTGTTGCTTTGCAACCTGAAATGCTGTATTCATTTGGTGCAATTTATAACATCCAAGTGAAAGATATAACATCAACATGTCTGAAAACATATATCTTTTTTTATACCCCCCCAACATTGTGAACTCTAATAATAATTCCTTCAGGGTCATCATGTTCTAGGAGAAAAACAGCGGACCTAATACTGAGCCTTGATGTACTCCATACTTGTGTTTGATGAAATGTATTAGCAGTTGGACAGGTTTAAGACCTAAACTGTGCTAATGCTTATCGACAAATGACAACATAATTCTCAAGCTATCCAAAACAATGTTGTGATATGTCAAAAGAGCTAATAGCACTAGAAGTAATCATGATACAATGCCAAAAGCATTTAATATATATAACTTTAATAAATGATAGTGCTTAAATTCTGACTGAAATTGTTCACAAGTACCATAGCATAGTGAGGAGGACTCTACTTTTCTAATATTTTAAACATGAATGGCAGATTCTGGACTGGTCTAGAACAGTGGTTTTCAATCTTGGTCCTGGGGACACACCGCTCTGCACATTTGGTATGTCTCCCTTAATGCTGGGGACACACCACAAGATAATCTGGCTGATTTTGGGCCGATTTCTCCCCTTCCGACAATCCTAGGTAATGTCCTGATTATCTTGGTGGCTCTAGAGATTATCTTATCAGATTTTCCTGTGGTGTGAGGTGTGTTAAGAGTAACTGAATCTGCTCGGAAGAACGTCAGAGGTGCCCCGATCGCGAATGCATGTTGAATATTTACGATCAGAAATTCTGATGTGTGGGGGGAACACAGGGTGGCTGCGGGTCCTTGAAAAGTCTTAAAATATCTTAAATTCAGATTCAGTAGGTCTTAAATATTTTTGGTCACATTACCACAAAAATGTCTCCAGTCTAACGGACCCAGTGACTGCGTCATCAGAGAGAATTGCGGTTACAGAATACAGTCGAACACCAGCTCGCTGTCCAGCCTCCGAACTACTTTTAAATGGGTTAATGCAAGTTTACTAAAAAATGGCTTGAGAATTGTACTTGCCCGACAGGACGAATAGCCTAATTAAAACTTAAGTGACAAAATATAATCACGCATCAAAACGCGCAAATTATTTTATTACATTCAGCTTAAACAGCGATTGATAATTGATAGTGTATCTCGCTGTTGAGGCTCGTGCTGCCTGTCTCTGTGAGACACTTTCATGGAGAAATCAAATCAAATGAGCGTACGGCACACATAAAGAAACTCACAGAACAAACATACTGAGGTTAAAATTCAAAATGTTTAGTTTATTTATAGCATGATATAGTCAAGTAACATACCATGACAAGGGATCTATTTTGCTGAATATTTTCACGATTGCAAATGTTACATTGATTTTAGTTCAACAAACAAGTAGTAAAGTATATGAAGTTACTTACATTTTTAGACACAATTGACTGTTTTGTTCTATTTCACCAACGAAAATAGTTCCAAACAAAGATCAGAACAGAATTATTGCGCACATTCTACAAGCCACACCCGGCGTTTTTGTATCTGAATGATTCAGAGGTTTGAAGGAATCGGTTGAATGAATAAGTGACTTACCGCCACCTACTGGCGGTTTAATCTCATGCTTAAAAGTATGCATTTTTCCCCAACATTTCTTATTTGTATGTTCAAAATTTTATTTACAACATTAATCCCATAACATTATTTATTGCTGTTGTAATTTTGTAATTATTTAATTTGATTGGTAACAGCCCTGTAGTGTATTAAATTTCTTGATCAATTGTAAGAATTTGACTTGAAAGATGACGTATACAGATTTAAGTATGTAAAAGCTGACAGAAAACTGAAGAAAATATTGCTTCAGAATAAATTGTTTACACCACCAAAAATCTCGGTGACGCAACACTTTTGTTTTGTGGGAATATTTTGTATGGGATATTGTCTGCTGATATGAAAAGTTCATTGTATATCGTAATAACAAATAGAATTTTTGACAGCGATGATATTTTGTTTTCTTTTTACATTTGAACGCGTTAAATATTACATATACGTATGTAATATAATGTGTATTTCCATCACAGGCTTGGTCTTAAATTTCACATAAGGTGGTATTAAAAAGGTCTTAAAAAGTCTTAAATTTATGTTGTTCACACACTATAGGAGCAAAACGGTTAAATCTAGGATTTTTTGTCCTCATGTTTGTGGTCTCTCACATTTTGAAGATCTTATAAGATTTTAAAAATCTTTTAGTGTGTACCCAGCATTATCTGATGCACTCAGCTGAGTTTGTGGAGTTCTCACCTAATGAGCTGGTGATGTGAATCAGGTGTGGCAAATAAGGAATACATACAAAATGATCAGAGAGGTGGGACCTTAGGACCAGGAGTAAAAACTACTTGTCTATAAAAACCCAGTTTTGCTGCATAATGTTGGTTTTGATGTTTTAATACTTTTAACTTGGCGTTGATGTCTGTTGCTTTGAGTCATTAAATGGCCATTAACTTGTATTTGTCTTTTTTTTTGCTTTAGACCTGATTGCACTGAAAGAAGAGATTCAAGAACTGAAAAAGATAGAAGAGAAAGATCAATATGAGAGACATGATTTCATGACTATGGAAAAATCCATACAGACTGAAACAACTTCATCACGAAAAAAAGTTCAGAAGACCGAATCTAACAATAACTTTACCTGCCATCAATGTGGAAAGAGTTTCAATCACAAACATAACCTTAAAAACCACATGAAGACTCACACTGGAGAGAAGCCTTTCACATGCCAAGAGTGTGGAAAGTGTTTCACTCACACAGGAAACCTTAATTCCCACATGAAAAGTCACACTGGAGAGAAACCTTATACCTGCCAACAGTGTGGAAAGAGTTTTACATATAAAAAAGACCTTAATTCCCACATGAACGGTCACACTGGAGAGAAGCCCTTCACATGTGATCAGTGTGGAAAGAGTTTCCGACATAAAGTAACTCTTAATTCCCACACGAAGAGAGAGCACTCAGGAGAGAAAGGTTTTAAATGTCATCAGTGTGGAGAGAGTTTCAGTTGTAAAGGAAGCCTCAAAACTCATGAGAGACTTCACACTGCAGAGACGCCTTTTACCTGCAAACAGTGTGGGAAGAGCTTCTCATATAAAGCACACCTTGATTCCCACATGAGAAGTCATACTGGAGAGAAGCCTTTTACCTGCAAACTGTGTGGAAATAGCTTCTCACACAAAGGAAATCTTAAGTCGCACATGAGAATTCACACTGGAGAGAAACCATTTCCATGTGATCAGTGTGGAAAAAGTTTCAGACATAAAGCAACCCTTGATTCACACATGAAAATCCACACTGGAGAGAGTTCTTACACCTGCAAACTGTGTGAAAAGAGCTTCTCATATAAAGCAACCTTTAATGCCCACATGAGAAGTCACACAGGAGAGAGGCCTTTTACCTGCAAACTGTGTGGGAAGAGCTTCTCAATAAAAGGAAATCTTACAGCTCACATGAAAACTCACACAGGAGAGAAGCCATTCATGTGTGCTCAGTGTGGAAAGAGTTTCACACGTGAAAAAACCCTTACTTGCCACATGAGGCTTCACTCAAGAGAGGACCGTTTTAATTGTCTTCAGTGTGGAAAGAGATTCCCAGACAAGAGACACCTTAACTGGCATTTAAAAATTCACTCCCGAGAGACGTCTTTTAAATGCAAGGACTGTGGAAAGAGTTTCAGATTTAAAGGAAACCTTAAGACTCACATGAGAATTCACACTGGAGAGAAACCTTTCACCTGCACTCACTGTAGAAAGAGTTTCAGTCAGAACATAACACTTCAGATTCACACGAGGCTTCACACTGGAGAAAAACCTTTCACGTGTCTTCAGTGTAAGAAGAGTTTCACATATAAAAGAGACCTGAAACGTCATTTGCAAACACATTCTGGAAAGAAATTGCACAGCTCTGCAAGTGAAAAAAGAAAAGGGAGCAATTTCAAAAATCCACTAAGTATTCACTCAGGAGGAAGACCATTTAATTGTGATCAGTGTAACAAACAATTGATTTTGCCATCACACTTAAAGATACACCTGAAAAGTCATACAGATGTGAGACCATATTTGTGTTTTTTATGTGGAAAGCGCTTTAAATGGCTCGGCAGTCTAAAATGGCACCAGAAAATATGTATCTGTGTGAAATTAAAGCTACGTTCACACCGTAGCTGAATATGGCCCAAATCTGATTGTCCACCTTCATGACCATTTGCATGCTTCACCTCTGTATAAGTTTGACCGTTTTGTCTTTTTATTTTTTGTCTTGTACATGTGAAGTCTTGAGCATCTGCTTTGCTATAGATCAGTTGTTCTAACTTTATTTGTCCTTTGTGAATATAAAATTCATCTTTAAAACTTTGCCGATTTTTGTGTTCACAAATTAAAATTAAATGTCATTATTATTATTATTAAATCAGTTGATGCTAACTGTAAAGTTAATCAATTATGAAACGCAATAAAATAGTGTCATTATCCAGCTCAATTCAGTTCAATCTTTTGTTCTTATCTGACGGTGTCAGTGCAGCCTAATTGATAATTTCTGAATCTTACCTGTTTTTAAACCACAACTTGAGCCAAAGGTGACAATGGCAAGGAACACAAACTCAGGTGACAGAAATGGAGAAAAAACCGTAAGAGAAACCAGGCTCAGTTGGGGGACCAGTTCTCCTCTGGCCTAAATGAACAAACACAGTGTGATTTAGGATTCAAGACTGCATCATAAGTCAGACTTTTTGGACCGATATCTAAAATGTGTCATGACAGTTGGAGTTTTCCTTGTGTACAGTTTGAATAACCAGGGGTTCATTTAGGTTTGAGCCCAACAGAGCTGAGCTCCTCTCTGAATATCTAAACAGGCATATCCTTCTGGAGCTCAGCTAACTTGTCCTTCAGTGTGAGTATGGAAGTGGATGCTTCAAGGGGGCAGAATTGTAAGAGTTGTTATAGCTCTTTTAAAAAAAAAATCTAATTTAAAAGCTGTGGCCACCAAACAGCAGCAGGGTCAGTATGTGTCCAAATATATAGAAAAGCACATTTTGCTCACCTTGCCCAGTTGCAGTAACAAAATGATTTATTATCTTCTGCTGTGATATTGTGATCTTGCATGGCAAAAGATATTTGCCATAATTTGAAAATTATTATGGCTCTTGAAGATTGGTGTAAACTCGAGTGCTTGCAAATCAGTGTAAAGAAAATGAAGGAGAGAAGAAGGATTTTTTTAATGCTAGTCTTAATGAAAAACGTGTTGGGGAAAGTTAAATGATCAGGCTGTAAATGATCAGAAAAGAGGAAACCAACAATAAAACAGGAGAAAGTACTAAATTACCAACAGGCTCATCAAAGCATTTGATCCAGTCCTGATACACTTCTTCATTTCTCAAATAAACCCAGCCACCATTGTCATCGCGGTTTCCAGCCCTATTTAGAGCCAGATCACCCCTGCTATCCCCGTTGGGCAAAGGGTCGAAATTATCAATTGTTTGTGCTTCGTGAACACTCGCGCCTTGCACGGTGGCACCATTGCACTGCAAAGATGTACCGGGAGAAGCGCGATCATTAAACGACCCATCGTCATTTCCAAAAGGCAAATATTCCCCTTCAGAGTTAGAATCGGCGAATAACATTTGCAACACATCCTCACGGTACAAATTTCTATTAGCCATTTGGCGATTTTCTCTCACAAATCTCACAATTTACTCGCACGCTATGAACTGAACTGCTTCCGCATCAATGACACGATAGCTCACTTGCTCTGCTATTTTCCTCGAACACTTTGAATGGGAACGTGACGTAATTTTGGTCTAGAATCAAAGTACTACATGTATGCCATCTAGTGGTAGGGAATACAAACGAGATATTACACCATATTAGGAACTACAGTTTATTTTATTAAGTATGACGTCTTGTCGCTTTGGCGCTTAGAGGGTTAATGGCAATACATAGAAGAGCTACTAGGACAATATCTGATTCCACACACCCACTTTACCCTGAATTTGTAAAGCTTCAATCTAGAAGAAGGTATAAGGTCCCCATAGTTTTTATTTTTTATAAACACTCTTTTATACCAGTGCCCATTAAGTATTTTTACGTTTTGTTTTGTCTGATTATTATTCATTGTCTTAATTGTGTATGTGTATAACATTTGTGTGTGTGTTTTATGAGAAGACAAAGGAGAATTTGCACATTGGATAATAAACGGGCGACTGGGTATAGAGCGTCTAAATCTATTCTGTCTGGACCAAAACGATAGAAGTCTGTGTTGCACCAGTTTTAATGATGGCAATGTTCAATGTATAAAAATATATATATATATATTCACAACACACACTGCATGGCATATTGATGCATATGGGCCTGTGTAGGTGCAGACTGTTCCCATGATGACCCCTGTCCACAGCCAAAAGCCTTTACAATGGGCACTAATACAATGAAACTGGACCTCTGAGCAGTGGAAGAAAGTTGTCTGGTCTGAAGAATCCTGTTTTCTTTTACACCATGTTTACTTGGGGATGTACTGGCACCAGGATACACTGCGGGAAGATGACAAGCCGGTGGAATGAGATTAGGGATGCTCCGATCCGCCTTTTTCGCCTCCGATACCTAGGGTTCGGTATTGGCCGATATAGATACCAATCCGATACCAGTGAAGTTTGTTTTCCCTCATTTAAATAAATATATCTCTGTGTGTGGAACTAATAATCATTATTTCACAATCTACTACATACAGACTACTTCATTATAAAGAAAAATAAAATAGGCCTATATTTTTTCATATTTGTTTACATATATTTATAATCTATGACAAAAAATTATCATAAACTAGATTAGTGGATAATTCGGCAGCAAAAGTTATTCTAGAAAAATCAGTGCACAATAATTTTAGAAATCCAAACATTTAGTGAAAAAACTATATTTTGTAGGGAACAAAAAAAAGTGTTGCACTAAATATGGTAAAATGTTACACATTGCTATTTGTATTATAAAATCCATTCATTAAAACATTAATGAATGTATTTATATATAAGTATATAATATAAAATTAAAATACATTTAAATGTATAGCATATTTTTTAATAAGGCAACAACATATGATAGATACAATAGGACAAAACAAATACAGTGCAGCACAAACTGTTTTTAATACAGTCAACCCTCAACGGACCTTGTCAATTGAATTGCCATTGACTAGTATATTTTTTTGTTTACTCGCCAGACAGAAATATTATACTAATGTATATATATATATATATATATATATATAAACATATAATGTTTGTAAAATGGTACAGCTTTTTAAATATCTGAAAGTACACTCTTTCAGTCAAGCATAGAAATTTAGTAATTAGAATTAAAACTTGGTAACCATGAACTTAGGACTGGTGCTGGTGCTTTTTTCGGTCATTCAGTGTTCCTGTAAAAAAAAACGAACAATAATACTGATAAGATATTATTATTATACGAATTCTACTAATAAGAACAATATAAAAACGCACTAAGGATTAATGAGCTATTGGATTCATGAATATTAATCAGGTTGTGTGCGTTTGCTCGAACTGATTCGCTGAAATCAAATCAGGGACGATAATAGGCGAGCGCCAGCCAATGAGATTGCCGTTTGCACATAAGTTTCGCCTACTACAAGAAAACCCGGCAGTTCTTAAAAGCTGAAGAATTCCAAAGGAAAATACAACACAGTATCACTGCAAAAAATGCTTTTCTAGCTTAGATCTTTTGTCTTGTTTTTTCTGAAAACAAGACAATCATTTTTACTTGTCTAGAAAATCCTTCTTGATTTAAGAATTTTTAGATATTTTGGCTGGAAACAAGACAAAAGATCTAAGCTAGAAAAGCATTTTTTGCAGTGATATCGTTTACATGTAGCGCATCAATTCTGCATTAAGACTCTCGCTCTTTGCGCGTTTGAGAGAAAGCGACGGCGAGTCGTGCCAAATACACAAACACAGGTGCGCTGCGCATCCATTCAAATGAACTGAAAAATGTTGTGTTGAACTGAGTGTTCTGTGAGTGAAAAAATGTCTGTGCTAATCATATACTCAGCCTCTAACTAACACACTGACGAGTAAAATCTGAGAATGTATTAGCCATCGGCTAATATTAGACATGATTTAGTCGCATATGTGAGTGATTTACTCGCAATGTAGAGTGTTGACAGTCTATGAGCACGAAGCTTCGTGTTAAAAACTGCAAAGCACAAAGGGAAGAGAAATTGATGCATAGTGTATTATATCTGTGCAACAGTTATTGAGCCTTTCTTTTAACAGTTTTAAATTTCAGTTACTGTGCACGTTAAAAACTATTTATAGTCTTTTCTACGCCTGTGTTTTGTTCTCACAGACACCCGGTAGCAAGTAACAAAACAACAATAAACTCCGGCAAGAAGATAAAGTCCTTTTTGCAAAATCAGACATGTATTTACAAATCAAGTATAATGGGAACACAGAATGATCTCGGAGAGAGCTTTACCGAACTGACTGTCGTAACCGAATGCGACCAGGGTTTAAACTTAAACTATTAAATTAGAAGTTTTCCGTTAAATATCTCATGTGAATCTTTGTCTTCACTCTAATGCATGGCCTCAAAATTAAATGTGAATGATGCAAAATAAAGCCAGCAGGGGTCAATCATAATTCATTACATAAATAAAACAAGTTAATTTTGCTGAAATGCATTATACATGGAAGTTATGACGCTATATTGAATGTTTATGTAGCTAAGGGTTTTGCGCAGTGATACACAGACCCGTTGGGTGAAGCGGTCATAGCCATGCTTTATCATGAATAAAACACAGCTGTTGACCAATCAGAATCAAGGATTGGAACTAACCATCTTATAATACTGATTCAAATGAAATCTACAACAGTTGATTAATCCTGCTTCTGAAGGGCCACTGTACATCAGGATTGGAAACCTCTGCGAATTAAAATGTTACAATAACACATATACAACGACAAATGGATAAAAAAAAAGAATAAGCTGAACAACTAAACTTTAAATATAACCACCTTTAAAGCTTTTTATTGTCTATTTTTTCTCAAAACTGTTTGCAGTAGAAAGAGTCATCCAAGACACCATGCTCCTCTGAACAAAAATGTGATTTTATTCCTTATAAAATGTCGATTAAACATATCTATTATAAAATAATCAGTGAATGTTAATGTATTTGATGAATGTTAGAAGAATTAATGAATGATAAAGGTAGTTTTCAAAG